TAATAATATCAGCCGGTTTTTGAAATACATAAATTATAAACAAGAAAATTACCTTCAACCGTGTTTTATTTTTCACTTTTCCTAAACATTTGGAGGCTTAAATTTTATGAAAACGCTAATAATTACCAAATAAAGATCATGAAATTGACAAATTCTTCAAAAAAAATTCAAATTAATCATATCTCATGAGTTAGAGAGAAAATTTTCGGCTTGAAGTCCCTAATTTTACGATTCGGCTTGAAGTCCCGTCGGCTTGATATCCGGCACCCAGAGCATGCTAGCAATTAAAAAAGCTTTTGTCAACTCGCAATTTAATTTTCATCAAAAGTGTTCTCTTATTGAGTAGCACTTTTGCTATAACCGCGATCTGTAGCCTTGGAATTTTCCTAGCATCTGTTCTCTGCTTTTTTGTGGCTAGTGTCTGATGTATTAAGCGTCCGTGGCTCAGCTGTTAGTGTGTGAGACTCATAATCTGTAGGTCGCATATCGAATCCGATACGTAGCCGAATTTTTACTAATTCGAGGCCTATTTCTGCTTTTTTATTGCCTTTTGTGTTCTTTGTCGCAGCTTCGCCTGTGTCCAAAATCATTTCAAATGTTGATTGTTCTTTTTCCAACTCGTGTGGTTGAAAGTTCCATTTTTGTGCTGTTCGGTTTAATAACTGACATTTTATCCACTTGGTGGCCTTTTATTCAGTCGTTTGATGACCGAAGTTTTTTGCTTGTTTGTGTGTTGTGAGAAGGGGGCTCGTTTTTTTGTGGTATTTTTTCTGCTCAGATTTTTTTAGTTTTGTTTTTGCTTGATACTTATAAATGCATCAAGCTGTATCGGGCGTGAGGTATCAATACTGCTGGAGACAGCAAAAGCTTCCGGATCGAATCCCACAGGGTCCTGTTTTTTGTCAAATAAGACAAGATAAGGACAAAATAAGACGAAATAAATCAAGCAAACTATCGTTCTTCTGCCTACACTTGCGAAGCGAGTGTATGAGTACGAACCTTCTTTTTTCAACCTAAGTCGCAAATGTTGGTGCGGCACCCCAATAATGGTCGAGCGCGGTTGCAGCTTTTTGATAGCATGTGCTGTGACACTCAAATAGTAAAAAGTTAACTCAGTTGATGCACTTTTAATTCATCAAATGAACCGAAAAAGTAATTTGTTCAAACAACATCAAGAAAATTTCTGACTCAATAAATCTCGCAATTTTTTTGAAATTCATAATTTTTACATTATGTGGCTTTGCAATTTGTTACAAGCAAAGTTAGTGTAACTCCCTTCAGTTTGTTATATTCCAAGTTATTACTTGCAAAATTGAGTCTATTTCTATTTGGTGCCACTTTTTCTGAATCGCATTGGCAAGTTATTAGCATATGTAGCAGCTTTTTCGTGACTAGTGTGTGTCGGTTGTTAAGCTTGCGTGGTTGAGTGGATAGTGCGTAAGACTCAAAGTCTCTTGATTGCAGTAGGTCGCAGGCTCGAATCCTACACGTAGCCGAGTTTTTGCTAATTCGAGGCTTACTTTAACTTTTTTCGTATATCACTTGATAGAGCTGTTTTTTGGTCGTGATCTCACGAGTGTTTGCGAAGCACAGCTTCGCCTTTGTGTTTATTTTGTCGACTTAATTCTCGTAGCCCGACTTTTTTAAAGGATCAGTTTTCCTTCAAATTGCTGTAAAACCATGCTTGACAAAACAAATACGGCCGAGAGTTCCATTCCAGTCGAGGCCTGGTTTTTTGCTAACTGAAAGTTTTTTGCTAGTTTTGATTGTTTTTCTGCCTATATTCGTCTGCTTTGTTCCGCAAAGAGGAGTTTTTTTAACATTCTGCTTTTTGATATCACGAAAGATCTTTTTAAAGGTTCTGAAATTGCATATAGTTTTGTTCTAGATATTTTGGGCTTTAGTTGCAAATTCTTTTAACAAAAAAGCGAGTTTTGAAGTTTTTTATGTATCTCTCATTTGATTTTAATCAGAGTCTTTTTTTTGAATTACAAGTAATGCGAAGCTCAGCTTTGCCGCTGTGTGAATTTTGCGTAAAGTGTCAGAAACTTAGATTTAAAAAATTAAACAAATTTTTAAATCCGCAACTCTGTTATTGGGTGCTGTCAGGGTAGTCTCAGGTGTTACAAATCGTGTCGCCAAATGTGACTTTTTAAATACTTTGTTTCCGAGAAATGACGTTTTTTCCCTTGCGATAAGCAATGTCGCAATCTGCACGACTTTTTCCATATAGAACTTTGATCACAGAATGGACGACATGGTAATCGTTTTAATAACACCAGGGTAAGTGTAGCGTGTAGTAGTTGCAATTTAGGTATGGGCTTGGGGTCCTTGATAAGATTTCTGAGAGTTGTTTCTCCGTGCCGAAATTTTTGGTAGGATTTCGGAGCTGGAAGAAATCGGCTTTAATTTCTTCAGTGTTATTTTTGTTCTCCGTACAAGTAAAAGAGTTGGTCCAACTTCTTGTCGTCTGTTCGATTGGTTGTTTTTCTCGCATCCATTTTAGCGCAGATAAAACAGCTCAATAATTTTTGCACATTTTTTCGCTAATTTTGTTCAAAATTGCAAGACGAATTTAATGTTTCACTCTGTCAACTTGAGTTGCTGTCTGCTACTTTTCTCGACTAATTTTTTGTATGCTTTTTGTTTAAAATAGTTTCAATTTGTTAAAAGTTAACGAATAACTTTTTTTTCGGTGTTAATTTCACAAAAAAATACTTTCTATTAACGTTGTATATAATTTTTTTTCACTTCCAGAAAAAATTGGTACGTTTTTTGACTCATTCCTTTTTTGAAATGGGTCAATAATACGCCTTTTTTTGCGAGCAATTTTAGTTCAATTTTCGTTTTGCTTAAACTTCTTTTGTCTGACCGGAGTTTTTTAGGAATTAACATCGGCGTTGTCGGCTTTAATTCCGTCGGCTTTTTTTCCGACTGGCTTTTTTTCCGACTGGTATTTTTTCTTTTTATGTTTTTGTTGGAAGATTGGTTTTAAAAATTTCTATTTTTTCATTTAGTTATTTTTGTCAGTTTGCACAACAAATTTGGTTTAAATCTTTGATGCTCTTGATTGTTCAATCAGCTGTTTTTATTCATAATTTTTCTCGTGTAATTGAATTTTTGAGTTTTCGCAGTTTTTTTGTTTATTATTTTCACAACGTTTGTAAATAAGTGCTCATCGCTTTTTAGTCCATATTTTTTATTTAAATGAAGCTATTTCAATTGAAAACTAGAACCAAACAAGCTTGAGTTGCTAGCAAGGCAGAAATGATTAAGGTCAAATTTTTTGATAATTTTAATCAAAATTGCTAGATGATTTCATCGTTTTGCTATGTCAAGTTGAGTTGCTGTCTCCTAAGTTTTCGAATGCATTTGTTGAATTTGTCCAATTTTGGGTTGTGTCAACAAAATAAAAAAACTAGTGAAATATATATTTTCTGTGCGCTAACGAAAAAATATACATTTTTTTAAGTCCAGCTAATTTTGATCGGTTTTTGGGCGTTGATCCGTTTCCAAGTGTCGTTCTTTGTAGGTTCAGGAGGTGGGCTTGAAACTTGATTATTCTTTTTAATAATTTTTTTTCGGCTCAACAGGTGGCTGCTCAATCATTTTCGGCCTCGTTTCCTCTTCGTAAGTTTTTTCCAAGTTTTTTCGTTTTCCATGAGACTCTACAATACGAAGACTAAAACATTACTAGTGATGGAACTTTTTTTAGTTTCTCATTTTTTAAATCTCTAGTTACCGTTCCCATCACCTCAACAGTTTTTTTTTCAAACTCACCCCTTCCCCTCGGTTCGTCCATCATGCGCCAATCAATTTCGAACTGGTTTTAAGAAGAAACCAATGAACTTCTTTTTCACTACTCGTTAAACGGAAACCCCTCGTAAATATTCAAAACTGAGATGAAGTCTTTTTTTAAAATATATTAAACCTATTTTAAACCTGAACCATACAAAACAATAAACAATTTTTTTCTGAATTCACACCGTTAAGAGTTATTTGTCTTCCTTCGCCCGAAATTGAACCCTCAGAACAATCCCACTCCAGAAACACCCGCTCAAGCTCTCTCAACTCCATCTGGGTATAGCCGGCTCCTAAACACTCACATTTCGCGACTACAGGTTTCCCTATGCCCAATATGCTCCGTTGCACCGCACACTACTTGCCACTTCTGAATCTGTCCCTAAAATTATCCCCTACTTACCCTTGCAGACCTGTGGTTTCGGCCGGTGGATGCCGCGTAGTTCTCAGACCTGGAGACAGACGAGCATAACCCAACCACGGGCTTAAACAAAAACGAAAATATTGCCTCCTAATGTGACTGCTGAAATCCTTTCAGTTTCCGAGATTCAGATATGATCTTCGTTCTAATTTTTGAGCAAGTTTACTGAATTTTCGAAATTGAAGTTTTTTTGTTATTTCAAAAACTTTTCATGAATTAATCCCGCTGGATAAAACATTTGATGGCAGCAAATGAACATGAATGTCATTCATGAAATAAGAGATTTTGCAAATGAAATCAGCGTAAAAGTTTTTTTTAATACGGAAAGTGTACTTCTATGCTGTCGGCTATTTTAGGGTGTTAATTATCATTCTGATTACGCTTTCGATTAGCAAGCCTTATCAAATCGGCGTTTACTTTTTTTCGGGGACAATTGTTTTTTTTCTGGTTCTACGGTCAATTATTTAAGTTTTGTCGGCTCTTTTACTTAATGTGCACTGACTTGATAGGTATGCGTCGACTGTGGTCGCGATTAGAAAGCGTTATCTGATCGGAATATACTTTATTTTGCAAACAACTTGTCCAATAAAATCACTGAATCAGTCTTTCAAATGAGCAAAAGGAGTTTCACATGCGTGCAAATCTTTCGAGGGGGTAATCTAATTTGAGAGCATTTTTGCATGTCTTTTTTTTAATTAAGACGAAAACATGAAAATTTTGGCATATTTTTTTTCGACTTAGCGGCTTTCGTTTCAATTTCTGTCATGTTTTGTAGGTGTTGAAATGCCTCTGTGAAAAAACTTCAAATTTTCTGTGACATCATCTGGGGCTCAGCTAGCGTCTGCTCAAGTTTTTTCAATTTAGTTGCTACTCGGTAAATTATTTTGAATGCTAGTTCAACGGCGGTATTTTCTATTGGCCCCCGGCCCAGCTCCGACCATTCAACCTTGGGCCATTTCCGCGGAGGAGAGAGATCCATTTTGCCGCAGCGTGTCCGCGAAGTGCAAGAAGAACCTGTGATAATAGCATTTTTTGCCTAGTCACTAATGCTAATCTTCGCTTGGCTTTATTATGTATTCTCTTGAAGTTAAAGTTAAACTAGCGTATTATGAATATGTGCGGTGTTTGCAAAGCCAAAATGTTTATAAGGCCAGAAAAGCTCGTAGTAATGAACGTAGTGAAGACTCTTATATAGGTCTTGGTGATTTTTTAAAACTCCTGCATCAATTTGTATAATCGCGTATTCAAACCATGGAACGCATGTACATATCTGATTTGAAAAGTAGCAATTGTTTTGAATCCGACTTTGCTTGTGTGTCATTGGAAGAATTCATGAGATTCCCTTGAACGGGAACGGAAAGATTTTAATGATGTACTCTAATGGTATAAATATTCCTCTCGGTTCCGAAGTACTTAAATAGTTCAATTTTCCAACAAGAACAGTTGACATTCGATTGAAAATTGTAGGGTTTGATCTAACCAATTCAGACTGAGGTTTTTTGGGCAAAACATTTACTATCCCGAATAGCATCTCTCTCATTTTTGTGCTTCAGTTTTAAATTAATTGCATTTGCTATTAAATTTGGTATCAGTTAATGCATTTCTGCGAAGTCAGAATAAATAGACCTCAGTTGAGTCAAGATACTTCAATCAGTAAAATTAAATGCCACGCCGAAGTCTTAATCTATCACGTTTGCATTCAGTAAATTACATTTGTTTGCAAATGCGTGATGCTGTGTGTTGTTCTACAATACAAATGGTAAACTCACACTTAATTTCTTTACTTGATGGTCACACTTAATTTCTTTACTTATTAAAGCGTTTGAAAGAAGAGATTCGTAGTATTGTGCAAGTTTAAAGTAAATCAGTACGTTTTTATCCCGGGCTTTTTGAAATGTTTGCGTGAATGTTATAGATGGAAATTTATGTCAACGCCAAAATAGTATATGTGAGATGGCCGCGTGAACAGTTCGTGATATCTGAATGAGTTCACAGAGAAGACCTGAGAGAATGAAGAGTTCGGCCACCGATTGCGAAGATGGAGAGGAGGACGGACCCGTCTACCAGTTCAGACGCATAGGCTCAGGAGCCACCTGCAAAGGGGTCAAGGACGATTTCAAGGTCGTTACATCCACCACCAAAATCGGGCGACAGCTAGACGAAGTTGATTTTTATCTGAATTCGACTGTGAATAAACGCCTGATATCTCGACAACATGCACAGTTGGAAAGAATTCACGACGGAAAACAGTGGAGATTTATTCTCATCGACACAAGTCTAAACGGAACTTATGTGAATGACGTTAAGGTATCCGGTCAAACTGAACTTAAAGTTGGAGATACCGTTACATTCGGTCACACAAATGGAATCAACGTCAGGGATGGAATGGTTGCTTGGCAACCCAATTCAGAATTCAGATTTGTATTCGAGTGCGTCTACTCGCAAAGTCGTGGTTACGCCAAGAAAGCGGCGTCTCAGAATTCTAGTGTTTCATCTTCGGAGCAAGCTTCCGTTTTCCAGCAGCAAAGTGAGCACGCTGCTTTGGTCAAGTCTGAAAATGCGAGTGCTCATGTGAAGCAAGAGAACTTATTGAATAGTCAGCAACCAGCGTTACCTGTGAGGCATTCGGCGATGGATTCTATCAAGCAGGCGTTTTCTGAGGCAGCGGTTGACGGCGTCGCCGCTCTGGCTCCTACTGGCGCCACCACTCTGGAAGACCTGGCCAAGGGAAACGTGCCATCGTCTGCCGCTACCACTGCCCATTGGCTGTCAGAGAAGTACAATCAGAAGCCACTGAACAGCCAAGCTGCAAAAGGTAGAAACAATAATAATAATCATCAGTTTTCAATTCGAGAAACTAGGATTTTTTTAGATTGCGTTTTAAAGAAGATCTTTTTTGGACGTTGAGGTTATTCTAGTTAATACAGCGATATAGTGATATAAAATATTCTTTTATTGCGCTCTATTCGCAATATAGGTTTTTGTAGCACCAAAGTTTGATTTCTCAAAATTTTCAGGATTCATTAACTGCTGAGCGGTTTTCTCCTATGAACTAATTTGATTGAAAATTTGGCCTAAATTTAGCCATTCATCTGAAATGTTCGGAGTTGCTGAATCCAGCAGCGATTGGAAAAAAATTGAGTTAGAAATATTTGCGTATTTTGTTCAAAAATTCTAAAAAACTTTTCTCGACAAACTTCATGTTTTCAGAGCACCATTCATCCACTCGGGCTTCGACAGCCGCACAGCAGAACAGTTCCTTAACAGAATTACCTCTCAGCTCACCCAGTCAGAAGTCTCCCTCCAGAATCCACCACTCATCACGCACTCCCGTTAGAAACTCGAGTAGTCGAGCAGCAGCCAGCGATGTCTATGATTTCGTAGAAACGGATGAACAAAAACGAGAACTGAAGGTCAAAAAATCGCCCATGGCGTCAACAATGGCAGCGTCAGCGGCAAACCCGGTGTTCAATACTTTTCATTTGCAACAACAACTGGCAATGCAAAATCAACAACAGCAGCATCAACACCTAAATGTCCCTCACTCTCAAGGTGCAATATCTGATCCCAACTACGCCGGTTCCCAAACTCATGCGCAGATGAGTCTAGGCAGCCAGCAGAATCAACTGCCGACCTATGTATCCAAGCCAGTGCCCCCAATGACGAATGCAGCTGCAGTCCAACAGTCACAGGATATTAAAGCCACAGGGATACCTTCATCGCACAATGTAAACCAAAACGCACTTGCGGCGAAATACAGCGAACAGTTGCAAAGCAATCTGATGTCGTCCCACAAAACACAGTCCCTTATCAACCCCCAGATCCCTTCAATTGGTCCTAATCAAGCCACGGTTGCTCCTGTGCAAAGCTCATTGGAGCAGCCCAACGTCAAAGGAGGGATTATACCGCACCTGCCACAGCAAATCCACAGTTCAAAACAGCTCACGAGTTTCCACCCATCTTCACAAATTATTCCCAACACCCCCAATATTAGCACAGTCTCTAGCGGAGCAGCTGAGCCAGTCTATATTCAAAAGCCAATGCCGAGCTCACTAAATCAATTCAACCACAATTTCAATTCACCTTCTAATCAACAACTGCCACCGCCCAATTCACACGTGACACACGCGTCCAAGACGCCCATTGCTTCAGTAGTTCCCCAACAACAAGTTGCCCAGCAGCCGACCACAAAGCAAGCCACTCCAAGTGGGTCCTCCTCAGTTTTACCGAATACGGTCAAAGTGGAACCCTTCTCAAAAGCTGAGCAGGACAAAAGACTCAACAAACCCACCCAAAAAGTAAGCCCAGTATCCGTTGACAAATCAAGGGCAAGAAAGGACAAAGACAGGGAAATGTTGTCTTCCTGGATAAACACAAGCACAGCTAACACTGGTCCGGGTAGGAAAACACTCACTTCTCTCAATTCAGATCTGGGCTACTTATCTCGTCTGAATGTAGACGATGCAATCCAATCAAGTGAAGATCCCTCGCCTACGGGACAGAAAGCGTTCTCACCTGTCAAAATAAAACCTGAAAAGAAATCGGAACACGTGCACAAAGCAGAGAGTCCGTACAATTCCTCCACGAATAAGACAGAAAATACTATGGAGGAAATAAGGGCGTTATTTTCATCGGTCAAGAGACCATCAGCCGCTGTGAGCAAAGATATGAGTAACCAGGCGATGGCGAACCGCGAACCGATCAAAATTGAAAGGAAAGATAAGGCTTCAAAGCAGCAACATATTCCGACATCTGTCAAACAGCAACCACAGTCGGACAATTCAGACGAGGATGGGGATAACACAGACGACGATGATGACGAGGAAGAAGACTCGTCGAGCTCAGAAGGAGAGGATTCGGACGAAAACGGAAGCAGCTCCTCATCAGACGAACACACGGAACAGGCATCAGCCCATCACAGTGCTTCGGCTAAGAAACAAGCGGCAAACAGCACCCCCGCTTCGTCTAATGTGCTCGGCAGAAATAAAGTGACGTCGTCTCAGAAAAAGCCTAAGCATGTTCTAAATCCACCTCCTCCCCAGGTTTCAAAATCCCAACATCAGTCGCAAAGTAGAAACTCGAATTCACAAAAAGTATCCCCTTCAGTCAGTCTGAAAGCTCAACAGAGCAGCAAAGTTGTGAAGAAAAAGGTCAAGGCAACTTCAGGTAAAAAAGCGAAAAGCGCAGCAGGAAAAGTGAACCTTGCAACTTCAAAGAAACCAAGCACGCATAATTCTAAAAATGCTAAGCAAAATATCAAGGAAGATATTAGCAGCAGGAAGCGAAAACAGTCCAGCTCTACTTCTAGTTCCAGTGGCTCCGACAACGACCAAAGCGACAGCGACGAAGAGTCAGCTGAAGAACCGGAGGTGCATGATCAAAGAAAGAGGTCTGCACTGGCTTCGAGTAACAGCTCAGGTGGGCCTTCAAAGAAGAAAGGAGCCTCCGAAAATTCTAGCAGTCGCAGCCGGAGCAAAAAGAAGACGCCACATGTATCGTTCAAAGAGCGAAACAGAGCTGCAGCTATTGCTGCTTCTGCCGCAGTGCAAAGCAGTGGGGGAGCAAACAGCAAAAAGAACAACAGCAACAGTTCAAAGAAAGGTCCGAAGAGCTCAGCAGAAAAGAGCGCCAGTGGAGGCGGAGGACCTGGTTCGAAGTCGGGTAAAAAGGTCATGTACTACCAGGAGGAAATGTGCGATTCGCCAGACTGTCTCAAACCCAGTGGGTCCACAATTGACTGGGTCCAATGCGACGATTGTGATCTCTGGTTCCACACAGTCTGTGTCGGTTGTAATTTGGAAGTCGTGCAGAAAGTCAACGCATCGTTCCACTGTGGGTGTGTCTGATCGAGCAGATGAATGGGCGAAAAAATCCCATTCAGAGAAACTTTTGAAACTGAAAGATTTGTTTAGATTGTACAAGGACTTAATTCAATTCAAATCTTCTGCAAGACATCGTAGAATATGTTACGCATTGCTTGTAAGCTATTTCGTGACTATTAATTGTTTTACTATTAGTTTCTGCGTTTTTATCCTGTTCAGTTTCCATTATTTGTGAGCTTTCTATGAATCGAAGTGTGCAAATATATTTGAATTGAGTATCTTCGTTTTTGATATAATTTGATTATAGTCTATTATTTAATATGAAGCGGCACACGTCAATTTTTTAAGATCTAACTTGTTTTTATTTTTCTCTTCTTTGGGTTTATGATTGAAAAGTATTTCAGTCCCCTAGTCCAGCCGGAAGGGGATGAGAGCGCCGTTTCACTGATCCTCTTTGCTACTATAAATTATAATGTACAGCTCAATTGCGTAGTCATACAATTCTTCAAGCTTGGCAATCCTAAAATCATCTTTCTTCCAATTAATCATGGCAAATTTTACTTAAAAGAGATTGCAAGCTTCAATTTTTCAATATCAGCTAAATTTAGATTTCGTTTCACTATTTTCTTTTCAAGAGTGCGAAAGGGAAGTGAGTTTGTCTTCCGGATTTGATACCATAGAAGCTGCGCTAATTTAGCTTCGCAAAACCTCTCAGCAAAAACACTGATTGGATTGATTAGATGGAACAGAAAATTTCAATCCAATGAGCAAAGTCAGATGTCACGGGTCCACTTTTTGTAAAATGAAACAGTTTTATAGTAGTGTTGTGGATGTTTTCTGTCCGAAGGCGAGAAACAGCACGGCGGATTTTCTAGTACAGCTAAAAATACAAGAAAAGCTTTAAAGGAGCGGGATTGCGAGTTTTATATATTTTTTCATGCTACCAGTGTGAGTGTGCAATAAAGTACTTTTGATTTATCCATATCCAATTAATGTCGCAACAGCAAGACATACAATAATATAATTGGACTTGAGAGCAATTCTCATACTTGACCATAAGCACTCAGCTGAATCGATTTCAGGAGGCTAATTTAATTGGTAAATACAATTCAACCATTTCTGAAAAACTGTTAGAGTAAGAACTAGGGAGCATCAGTCATGAAGTTTTTTACACTTGCGAGATTAAGTGCCTTGTAACAGTGAAAAAGATTTTTCCCCGTGCACAATTTTTCTTAAAACGCAATGAACTTGCTTTATTATGGAACCTTATGACGCTTGCGAGAAGCAAGCGTTATCAAACTGGAATCTAGAATTTTTTCTAGTCAACTAGTTTAACTAGTTTAGTTGAATCTTTTGACATACTCAATGCTCTTCACCTTTTGACATACTCAATGCTCTATTTCATGAAAATTCAAATTTAAATACTGGCTGAGTACTAGTTACTACAGGGTAGTTTCAGGGGGACTTGAAACTAAAGTTTGTTATGTAGTGAAATTTTTTCGGCCCAATTGGTGCCTGCACAAATATTGTCGACCTTGTTCCGCTTCGTAAGTTTTGCCCAGTTGCTAATTTGAATTTCAAATTTCTTGCTTGGCATGTTTGTCTAGAATTCATGTTTGATAAAAACAGGTATTATGAAAGTGCAAGGATTTTTCTAATTTTTTAGTGGCTTCGGAAAATATTAATATTTTTTGTAAGAACTTGAAGAACCTGTATTGAATTTTAAAAAAAGGTATACATAGAAAGAAAGCTTATATTCTTGTGTGCCTATATACTGCCCTGGTCTCTTTTTGCTCTCCCCTTTTGTCTATACCTTTCGAAAACGTCTGTGGGGGGACATTTGACCAATATTTTTTTTTCGTTTCTCAAAAACTAACCTACCAAATCTGATATTTAGGTTTCAATGAATAGAACGGAGTTGCAAACAAGCGGTAAGTTTTTTTCACACAAAATTATGGCCCTCGGAATAGTCAAGTTTTTTATTTTTTTTCTACCGTTTTTTTCTCGAAAACTAACCTCCTAAAACTGAGGTTGTCGGTTCAATGGATATAACGGGTGGTGGGAAGCTCACCTGCATTAGCGGTGCCACTGAAATTTTGTACACAAAAAGTTATCGTCCGCGGAAAATTTAATTTTTTTTTGATTTTTTTGAGCGTTTTTTTTTAAATTGGTTGAATTGATCCAAAAAATACCTTTTTTTATCTGAGATTTTAGGTTCATTCCAAAGAACGGGTTATGGGCAAATTTTTTTGCATATGCAACTACGCGCAAGTGTTTTACGCAAAAAACTAAGACGCTGGGAAAAGTCGAAAGTTTAATTAAATGACAGTTTTTTGAAATTTTTTGACTTTTCTCGAAAACTACTCGGCAAAACCTATATTTTTGGGTTCAATCGAAATAACAGAGGAGGTGAATTTTTTCTACCTCAACGGTTAAGCCCCACTTTTTTAAAACAAAAATTTAAGAGTCTCGGAAATGTCAACTTTCTGATTTGTTGACTGTTTTTTGTTCTTTTCTCGATAACTATCCTGCCAAAACTAATATTATAGGTTTATTCGACCCAACAGGTTGTTGGAAGTTTAACATCCATGTTATGTGCTACGCCCAATTTCTTCAAGAAAAAAAACGTGCCCTTTAAACAGGTAAAATTTTTGAAAATTGAACCGTTTTATGGATGTTTTCTTACTCGAGTGGAGTAAAAATACTTGCCAATTCTTCGGTAAAGTGTTCACTTGAAAAACACAATTTTAAGCAATTTCTTTATTTACCGGCCACGGCCTACGTTTAGCAGAAAAAATACTGATTTTTGATTTTGACTGTTTTATAGAAACTTTTTTAATCAGTAAAATCATTTTTTTACTCTATCAAATCTGAGATGAAAATTTCCATCGAAAGAAATGGTTGCGCAAATTTTTCCTGCATAAGAAGCTACCCTTTACTTTTTTGTAAGAGAAAGGCTAGGTGTTTGGGAAAATTCCAAAATCTCAAAAAAAATTTCCTCTCACTTTAGTTGAGAAACAACTAGGGTTTTCGGCAAAGTCTAATTTGTGAAACTACGCGTTTCGTCCCGCGTCAGTATGACAAACTCAAAAAATACTGAAACTTACCTCCAGCTTTAGCTGAGCTCAAGTTGTCCTTCATCGAGGGATATCAAAATTTTGGTTCACCTAGTTTTTTTTTCAACATTCTTCTTTTTTTCGACTCAAGCTTTTTTATGATTGTGTTGTATCGCAAGTGCTGCGAAACTCCGCTTCGCCTTTGTGTCATTTTTCAATTTCCTTTCCTCTTGGCTTGACGCAGCGCGTTTGTTTGCACCATATCGTCTGGATTTCGAGTGCCGGAAGGTACTTGTTTTTCAGTATGTCTAAAATTGATTGGGTGGACTTTCGCTTGTCTGCTCAAGTTTTGTCGGCTTAGTTGCCAAATCGTGGGTTTTTTATCAGCAAGTATCATGGTAGTTGCAAGCGTTGTTCATTGCAGTTTCAGGTGGAACTTAAAATTATTTGAATTTTTTTTATAAAACTCTTTTTTTTCGGCTCAACTGGTATTTGCTCAAAGATTGTCGCCTTGTTTCCGCTTCGTAAGTTTTGATTCCAAGAGAACAAGATAATTTAAAATCAATAGTCCTCTAAGTTTCTTGCTTGATAAAAATTATTATGCGATTGAATGTTATTAGGTTTTTCGTGTCTGGAAATCTACTGTCCTGATTTTCGAAAAATGGCTATCATTAGAATTACCGCTTACAGCTTCAATGGAAAAACCGCTAATTGGATGCATAATCCTTTGGTCTCTTTTCACTTACTTCACTGTCTACAGCCTTCGAAAAAGTCTGTGAGATGAATATCTGACCCATAATTTTAATTTTTTTTTCGTTTTCTCAAGAAATAGTCGTTCTAAATCAGAGTTTTTCGTTTCAATGAATAGAAAGATTTGTAAAATTCCAGGCTCAAGCGGCTATACCCGTTTTTTACACAAAGTTATGGCACTCGGAATAGTCAAATTTTTTATTTTTGACCGTTTTGTGAATCTTCTTAACTTATCTTGAAAACTAACCTCTCAAACCTTTTATTATGGGTTCAATGGAAACAACAGGTAGTGGAATTTTTCTTGCATCAGCGGCCACTCGCAAATTTTGTAGACAAAAAGTTATCGTCCTCAAAAATGTCATTTTTTTTTCATTTTTTACCGTTTACTAATTTTTTAAAAAATGTTCTCGAAAACTACCCTTCCATATCTAAAATTTTGGGTTCAATCAAAATTACAGGCTGGGTGAACCACTTCTGCTTAAACCACTACGCCTTTTTTTATACAAAAAGCCATGAGTCTCGGAAATGTCAAAATTTTGATTTGTCTACCGGTTTTTGGATTTTTCTCGATAACTATCCTGCCAAATCTGAGATTTTTTTTTAAAAAAGCAAGTTGTGCAAAACTCCTCTGTATAAATGGCTAAGCCGAACTTTCATTCCACAAAAATTGAGGGCTAGGGGGTTTAATTTAGGATTTAAGGTTCACTTGATTTCATTTGCTGGAAGGAAGGCAAACTCTGCTATCAAATAGCGAAAGTGTAAAGGTCGCGAAAAGTGTGATCAATTTCTATTTTCGAAACTGGACTTTAATTGAAGATTTCCCAGTGGAAAAAAACTTTATTCATTGACACAGTTTTCTCAAATTGGGTTAATTTTTAGCAAAAAAGGTCAATCATAAATTGTTCTAGAACTCAACAGAAAGGCGAAACTACGCTTCGCAAACAAAAGCAAGAAAATGAAAAAACTCTGCTGTAAACAAAGAAATAAAAGAAAAGCAAAAATATGCCCTAAAAATTGAGAATTAATTTTGTGGCGGATTTGAGCCTACAAATGTTAGTAGTAGCACATATTCCGATCTGCGCCACGGCACTTTGAATTTTGGTCAACCGCCAATGAAGCAGCTAAATATGCTAATAAATTGCCAAACTCTGTAGCAAAAGTCGCACCAAATATAAACAGGCAAAGTTTGCATGTGCAAATTTGGAAATAAATAAACTAAAGGCACCAATATTTGCTACTTACGTTGGAAATAAAGAATAGTCGTTCTATCACTCTACGCTCGCTGAAGCTTGCTTGTGTAAAGAGTTTTAAGGCATCTATTTTGTTGAAAATTCGAACACTGAATTATTTTCAAAAACTAGTCAATATATTTTGGTTGATAAAAGTTATGATTATTATAGTCAAACAGTTATAATAGTCAAATAGTTTTGATTTACAATAGTTATGATCTTGAATGTTAACTGTGATCTTTCTTTGAATTTGATGCTGACTTTAGTGATCGACGAAATGGAAGTATAAGTAGTATAGATATACGACACTTGGATTGGGGGGGGGGGGGGGGTGATCCCTACAGGGATCATTGGGTATAGATTATACCTAATGATCCCTATGTAAATATTTATACCTAATGATCCCTATGTATAATTTTCATAGCAAATGATCCCTATGTAAAATATTTATACCTAATGATCCCTATGTAAAATATTTATACCTAATGATCCCTATGTAAAATATTTATACCTAATGATCCCTATGTAAAATATTTATACCTGATGATCCCTATGTAAAATATTTATACCTAATGATCCCTATGTAT